GCATGCAGTAAAGGCTTATCACAGGAATCTTGGCATACTTCTTGTTATTTTTGGTGAAATTTTGTCAAAATTGAAAGAGGAAAGAATTCTCCATTTTTATAATTTTTTTCTGATGTACATTGTATATGCATATGGTCATGACCATTAGAAACTTTGAGCTGATTCTGATCAAAATTAGATTTTTTGTGAATTTTAAGTTGCTTAAAGACAACTTGATGCTTAAGTTGCTTTGGTATCCTTACAACATATGGATGCCAAATTTTGTCAAAATTGTAAAGGAGAGAATTCTTTATTTTTATAATTTTTCTGATGCATATACACAATGTACACATACTCATGTTGCTTAGAAGCCTTGAGCTGATGTCAATTAAAATGGGATGATTTACAAATTTTTGAACTTGTTCAAATCTGGCAAAAGGCCCTCAGCCCCTCACTCTACTGTAGTACATACATGTATATGTAGTCTTCAGCCAAATTTTATAAAAAAATTGAAAAGGAGATAATTCTGCATTTTTATAGTGTACTTATGATGCTTAGAAACTTTAAACTGATGCAAGTCAAAGTTAGATTTTTATGAATTTTTAAAGTTGCTCAAAAAAGCCATGTATGACTACTGTAGTACTTGTCAGCTCATAAAGCATGCTGTTTAGCTCACTTAGCATGCTTTGTGGGAAACACTGATACAGTAGGTATTTAGAATTTTCAATAGAGTCTCAATATACCGTATACGCCATATATTTTGTGGGTATAAAATTTCGCAATTTGGCTGCATTTTTGTATTCGCAAATAAAAATTTTGCAATTTTAATGTAATTACCACACGTACTATATAATCAGCATGCTATTTTGTGGATTTTAATTTTGTGAATTTTGTCAAAACACAAAAATTTCAAAATTTAATCCTGCGAAATATATGGCATATACGGTGCCTATTGTGAATAGCTTGCAGACTGCACCACGTGGCAATGGAAATGCAGAATTTTGTGGTGGAAAAATTTTGCAATGGAGCAAGAACAGCAAAATTCACAAAAATAATTTACCACGAAAATAGACCGGTATACAGTAAGTCATGTATAGTTTAATTATGGACTTTTATAATATTATTTTTTTCAGATGCTCATAACTCAAATTTGAACTTGAACTTTTGCATCAATAACAGTTTTTAAAATAGTTTTATGATGCCCATAAGTGCCATATTTAACCATGATTTAACTTGTATGGGCTTCAATTTTGAATAGTATTTACACAAATAATTCGTATTTTGAATCGTTGCATTGTGCATAGATTTTATTACTAGTCTATTTCATTTTGATAGTTTTTGCTGCCGGATGATTTGAAGCCAAGGATGTATCACATGTCATGCAGTTATCACATTCAAGACTCTCAGACTGACGTTATCATATTTGGTGGAAACAAAAGACGAGAATCAAAGTATCACAGGAACGTTGTAACATCTCCAATCATCATTCGATTTGGTTAGACTTGTAATGTAATGTTTTTGTTGTACGTTACACAAATTTCAGAGCATAAGAATTGCATGTAGAAATTTTTAGTAAACTATAAAGCCTCAGTATGTAGTATACAGAGGAGCACTGGAGTATTATGTATAGCAATTTTACCTATACTACAGCTGCTTTGTCCAATGCCAGAGTACAGTACAATCTGCTCTCTTAAGTTTTACTACATGTACAGTGGAACCTCCGAGTAACGAAACTTTTGGGACACAAGAATCTTTTCATTACATAGAGGTTTTCATTAAAGGGAAGTTTTGTAAATGAGGCATCCCCAATGTGAGACTTTACCTTCTTATAAAAAATGAGGGGCAGTAGACAGTAGAGTAAGCTGGGGAACAAATTGCAGAAGAGAAAAGTAGAATAAGAAAATAAGTTTGCAGAATATGTTTCAAAATGAGGGAAAGGCTATTAAAGGCAATTATCTGTGCTCCTGGATAGTAAGATAGCAAAAAAGAGTGACAGAGCATAATGTGAGGAGAAGAAAAGACGCCATTTTTACAATGGGTGGGTCTCTTTTTAATTGATTAACATATCATATGACGCCACAGAACTAGTGCGCATGCGTGGCCATGCCCACTTTTCATTAAATGGAAGTAAAATGGCACCTTGGTCAGAAAAAAGCTTTCGTTATTTCGTAACAGAGGAGTTTTTGTTAAAGGGAGGTCCATTTTCATCGAAAAACTGGGAAAATGAGTTGGTACATTTAATTTTTTCATTATAAGGAGGTTTTTGTTAAAGAGAAGTTCCGTTATCAGAGGTTCCACTGTATATAAAATCTGCATGTACTTATTAGTATTAGGTAATTTTATAAATTTTTTGGTTGGGTTGAAATTGGTTATTTAAATATACACTGCATATACATGTATACTCAGTAGTAATTGCTATTACATTAATTGTATTGTACATGTAATATGTAATTTTTATTGTTTACTCTGGTGGTCCCCAAATTTGATTAATTTAACTTACTACATGTACATGTGTATAATTAGCCACATTCCAAAGAATTGCCCATATGGCCAAAAGAAAAATTCAAATTTCGATCAGAATCAGCTCAAACTTTTTCACATGCATAGCATGCATGTACATGTACATCTGCATGTAAGAAGATGTACAATTGTGCGTCATGCATCAGAAAATGTAAAGAGAAGTCATGGCCATTTTTTGAAAAATACTCTGTACTATACAGGTAGTATGTATGGCCAGCTTTTCTAAAATTCATTTTAAAAATTCAGTTTTGATTAAAATGAGCATGAACTTTCAGTATAACATAAAAATGTTTGTCAAAAATGGAAAATGGACACGTCTTCTGAGTTTTTCACTAAGCATACTAAGTGATGATTCATAAGCTGGCAAGCACTATAATACAGTGCATCAATTGCATTTAGAGAAAATTTTTACACAACATAAGGACATGTGCATATACATGTATGTGTATCAGGAAAAAGTATAGAAATAGAGAATTATCTCATAGCCATGGCCTTTGGCCGTTGGTTCGATTTTTGAGCATCATTAAAACTAATTTGATCAGAATTAGGTCAAAGTTGATCCACAACATAAGGAAAAATTTGTGATTTCCCAGAATATTGTTAATTAGTTAATTAGCAAGGATACAAAATTAAAATACTTTGTGCATGTGTAGACTTGTGCCTAAAGCTAAGAAAGTGGAATGACAATATCAGATCTGTTATTGGTATTGGCCAGTATTGGCTATGTTAATGTTGATCATTGAAATATCGACAAAGAACATATATCGATGCATTCTCTATTACATTTAAACTATTAATTTATATACTTTTCATCAGGATAACTTTTCTCTTAACTCCAGGTTCAGTTCAGCCACTACATGAGCTATGCCTTGCACATTTAAAGAAGATAGAAGGATTGCAGTCTTCAGCACTGTTCACTTCATTGCCTCCACTGATGCAAAAAATATTGACGAGAACAAATGATAGTCAAGATTTAACTATTATTTATCCTCTTGATGTTCATTTCAAGTAACTGACACTAATTAATATTGCTTTCCATAATGCTATCTTTTATAATTTTTATCAACTGCGAACATTTAATTTTTCATCAATACCTGAATGATAATAAATAGTAATGTGTATTATCAAGAGTGGATAATCCACTCTTGGTATTATACATAATGGAATTAAATGAGTTCTTTCATTGATTATTATGTCATTGTGGTACAATTGTTATTGGCTGTTTTGTGTTGGTTTCTCTCTACTAGGTGTACTAGTATCTCTTGTCAATGGGTCCTCTGGCATATGACTAGATCTCTTTGTTGTTTCTGGCCCATCATCTTGTTCACTGTCGTCACTTTCGATTGCTTTAATTCTACTCAATGGATCATGGTCCACATTATTAGATTTAGATTTCCGTCGTCTCTTTGCTTGAATGAGTGACTCGGACAGTAAGATCTTCCTCGATCTTGTGATTGGTCCGGTGTAATGGTCATCACAACTTGCTTTGTCTAAGGTTCTTTCTGAGGCTCTCCGAGATGCTCTTTCACTAATGCTATAAATACCTAATTTTAAATCCATCATGATATTAATTTACCGTTTACTTTTTCGTCTAATACATGTACTCACTAATGGATCAATTGGTAAAGGGGATAACTGTCCCTAAATGATAATGATCATAACCATGCATATGCATAATTTAGCATGACCACACCCAGAAATTAATACTTAACACTCTAGAGAGGGAATAATGTGCTTTCTTAGCCTGTAGTAATTAATGTTATGACAATTGTTACTTTAGTTTTGGATTTCTTCTTTGTTGGTGACTTCAGTTTTGTGCCCTCTGGAAACAATTGAGCTAACTTCAGGCAATACAGCAGATTTATAGGATTAAGTAATAGGAGTTGTATGGTGTTTTAACTTACTAATGCTTGGTTCTCCTTAATTCTCTTTAAACGTTTTAACTCATAAAGAGACAGCCCCTCTTTGGAATCTTCTTCCATCGTGGAAATCGAACACGTTCAATCACGTGTCCTGATTCCTGAAAGATAAGGGGAGTGATCAAAATCTAGAGACTCTTACTAAATCTACAATGGAGATCATTGAGAAACTCAAGCTGTGAACATAATGCAACTTCAGCTTCCTTTGTCTTGCTCTGATTGTATCAATTGTCATGCAGTAGAATGGAGTCAAAATCAAAAGTACAACAAATGACATCTAAATTAATAAATTACATGCAAGCCTCACGCATGCAGCTTTTACAATCATCTATAAGCATAGCATAATTGTTACTATTTTTGTCATATGTATTATGAGATGTGCATGTTACTAGAATATATTATGTTCTGTGTTAATTACTTCTGATAATTCATAAACATGTATGTATACTTTTAATTAATAAAATGATCTTATGCTCTAGACCTATCTCTTTTGTGTTACACACAATGAGCTGGACAGCTCTGTGCAGCTCATGAGGACTTACTTGTCTATTCCATATGTTAGTAACTTACGTACAATATAGTGACCTTACTTTTTTGTGTTTATCTAATTTATTAAGCATTGTAATTCTTCTATGACATTTTAATTTCTTTTGTTCCCAAAATATCTTAACTTAATCTCTGCTAGTACATCCTGCAACTCTTAGCTAATTGCTAATGTTGTGCTGATTTAGTTCACAATTCATCATAAATGACTTTTTCTCAATTTCTGGACACAGCTATATTATTTGTGTGTAGTATATTTTTGCAATGAAGTACTTGTAGTGATTTTTATCAAATTAGAATTGATAGGAGAACCACATTAGCTCAATCAAAGGAGGAGCTAGTTCCACTGATTGGTGTACCGGACTCATTAATGGACATGCATGTACCTGTTGAATCAAAAGTAATTATTCTACTTCACTCAATCATGATCTTTTCTCTTCCTTATAGTTTGTACTAAGACTGGCTAAGGCATTACAAGTAGGAGAGTACAGAATTAAACTATTTTTATTACATGTTAACAATACAGTGGTTAGCCAAATAGCAATTTTGCTATAATGATTTTGCTCCCATTTTAATTCAGTTCTTTATAATCTAATGATGAAGTCTATTGTTGTTAAGAATACATGCACCTGTAAAAAGAATTTGAGAAACAAATTATTGAAGAAGCAAGAGTACAAAGAATTGACTGTGTTCTTGAATTAGACAAGTAAGTACATCATGTGACTATCATTTGACTTATTGTGTAGAATGAGATTACGCAAGAAGAATCGGAGGTCACCTGGTAGAGTGTATCTTGATCATCAGTTGATTGAGAGAGATATTCATGTATATGCTGATAGTGAAATGCATGTGGAATATTGAAAGATCAGTATTTTTAATAATGAGGGTATTATTCTCATACTCTAATAGAACCTAAAAAGATGAAGCTCCCAACACAGATGTAGGTGTATGTTAGAAGATGGCGTCCATCAGAATTTTCAGTTGATCCAACAGAAGAAGTTATTCTAAAATAATGCTATGTAACTTTTTCCTTTAGTTTTCAGAGTTAAGTGGAGTTCCTGTTGATCCCATTTCTGTTGCAACAGTTAGCAATTGACATTTCACTATCAGCCAGTTATTTTTCCTTTAAAAGTA